TCTCTCTCTCTCTCTCTCTCTCTCTCTCTCATTGTGTGGGTTCACAAAGTGTATCGCAAAACACACATTAAAATACACTTAATATTCATTACAATTAGCGATAAATACATTAATTTTAAGTTTAAAATACCATAAATTCATAACTAATTTAAACGCATATAAAACTTATTAAAACATAATTTTGGACATTATTTTAAAATACTTTCACATTTATATTGTTATTACATAATAGAGTGTGAATTATGGCACAGAAATAGTTGTGAAAGTATTTTATTATTAATAATAATTTGCATATAATGTGCACAAAATGAAATTGTTTAAAAAAATAAATCTAGATTGAAAATTAAGTTATTATATTTAAGGCAATTTATTTTTGTCGGTATAAATATTTTCATTGTGATTATGCAATAGACCAATTAGGCATGCTGGGTAATTGGCATTAATTGCATTGGTACAAGTAATGTCAATTTATTATGTATGCACATTAAAATATGTAAAATATAATAAATTATTACATGAATCAAAAACTCAAACTAGTTATAAACAAAATTGCACTAAAAATATTTAAGCACGTCTAGTTTAAATCATAAAATATTTTCACATATAATCATCCTTGATACATATAAACATTAAACTAGTTAGTTTGCACATTTAACACGTACAAATATCATAACAAATAAAAAACATTAATATAAAAAATGTCATTTAAACTAATAAATTTTTACCTTCACTATTATGTTGAAAATTTTATCATAAGATATTACATTGTGATAAAGTATCTGTAATTTATATACCCTGTGCTGCTCTATACCCACCGGTGCTCTTTCGACACTAATTCCCATATAAAAAATACATAACTAAAAACTGAGGGTAAGTTTAAAACAAGAAACAAATCAAATATAATATTAAAGGGAAAGGGATTTGTGGCCCAAAACCGCGAGACGTGATCTCAAACTTGTTATATAACTTTCAAACCATTTTAAAAATCTATAATATTTTGTGATATTTCTGTTTGAAAATTAAATAAATTAAAATTTTGCGTTTAATTATTATTAGCTCACAGTATATAATAGTAATAAGATTGTGGTAAAAAGTTTTGTGACCTCAATATTTAGGTAAAATATATTATTTGTAATATTTTTGTGTATTAGTTACACTACCCGGTGCTGCTTAACTACCTGTGCTTAACATATGGACAGTCGTGTTGTGTGTGTTTTGTTTTGCCAGTGTTTAATACATACAAAATATGTATTATAATATTTAGTGATTTTTATATGCATTAAAATAATGTTACTTTCATTGAGAGTAAAATGTATTTCCGATTAAAATCATAGCGAAATAAATGTATTTTAATTTGATTTTCATATAACTTATAATAAAACAAAACTTTTATTTGTTTTGAATGTGTTTTTCCCCGAAATATATTATAATATAATATAGTTTTTGATAGAATTTTTGTTCACAAAATTACTTAATGGGAATTATTTCCGGTCTATATTAACATGTTTTACATTTAATAAATCTCTCTCTCTCTCTCTCTCTCTCTCTCTCTCACTCTCTTTCACTCTCACTATGTTTTTACATTAATGCAACTCAAGAAACACAGTATATTGTAGTTATTATGTGCGGGAAAACACATATCATAACAAATATTTAATTGAATAATCCAAAGATACATGTGTAGATAGCAAAACTCACCTTATACTTTAAGTGCTTTTAAAATAACCATAATATTTCGTAGCAAAAACATATAGTTATAACAATAGCCTTCAATTAGTGGCCTGTTTTGAAGGCAAACAACACGTTTTACGCGCCATTGACTCTAATAGTGTACTAAACAATTCACACAAACGGATATTACTGTACATTATTATTACTAATATACATACCTATCGGTTATATACTATATGTGCGGCACAAACGTGTATTTAAAATAATATTTGTTATATTTTTATCAAGTTTTTTGTTTTACTTTATTAATAGTGAAAGGATTTATCTAACGATCATCATAAGTGATTGGATATATACCATCATCTGTTGTACAATAATAAGGTATGTAGTTGATTTAAGATGATTTTATTTTTTCATATCTATAAAAATTAATTTTAATTATTTTATCTCATTATTTACTGATATAAATGCCTAGAAAATGGCTAATTTTTATCTAGATTTTATTGTATAGCATTTAGATTAACGCTAATAAATTGTTTTGTAAAATTATGATGGCACTTTGTTAAAGATAACAATAATTTAGATTAGATTTATGTTCAGATTTAACATCTTGGAAAACTTTAATTATAATTAAATGATTAATGTATTTCTAAAAATTATTTGTTATATTAAACTAATTTATTGCCGATTATTGCAACATATTTAATTTTTAACAATTAAAAATGTTATATAAAACTGTAAACATATTAAAATAATAATAAGTGTATAATATTTAATAATTTTGCCTATTTACTACTGGCAACACATTGCTAATTGTAGTCAATTTTTTAAATATTTTTTATTGGTTTAAATGTATTAAACATTAATATGTTAAAAACCGTAAACTGAAACCAGTGTAAATATAAATGTAATAGTTATCCATATTAATGTTGTAAAAATTGGAATGTTATAAAAGCTTTGTGTTGATTAAATTTATTAGCAATTACTAATTTAATTTTTACTAAAATATATTATATATTTATTAAATATTTTATCTAATTACAACATATTATTTTATTTGACTTGTTATCCAGATATATTTAAAATTTAACTGTGACTATGATTTATTAAATTAGTTGACTGTGTATAACATTTTTATATATTTTACAAATACACTCATTTTAATTTTATTAAATATTTATTTTAAATGTTATATCGCAAAACTACAATAAGTTAATATATGTATATATAACTATTTAAATTCTATTAAAACCTATTTAAACCATATAAAAATTGAGCTTTTTGTACTCGCATAAAAATTTAATAAAAATTTCAGATCACCAATATAAACTTAATATGCCAAGCAAATTTTTATCAAGTATATAAAATTAATTTCATTTCATTTAACAGACATGTATTATAAGCCGATCGCGCGGCTACTAATCCTGTTAACACCTCTATTCGTCACACCCGATGCCTACAGTCACGGGGCGCCCACTAAATCATGTCAGACACTATACCCGGGACACGGGGTGGACAAGCAATATGGACAGGCACCGTATGAGATCAGGGCCAGTTTGGGGGCCAATGGCATCGTGCTAGTTACAATCGAGTCAAAGGGTTTGCCGTTTACCGGGTTCATGTTGCAAGGTCGCCAGGCAACCGATAGAGAGAGCCTGATCAATGGTAGATTTAGCGAGGATAAAAATACACAGGCTAGAAACTGTAACAACGACAACCCGGTATGTTTTTGTTTATAAATAATTATTTTAAAATTAGCTTATTGGTAATCTTTATCCAGTCCTTCAATATGTTTATAAATAAAAGTAACTTGTTTTTAACAATTTATTTTTAACTGTTTGTTTTGCCTTATTATGCTAGAATCAATGAGTAAAAATAATACAAATTTATAATTTAATAAATATGACCATAATTGTTCATAAGCTAATTCGGGTTAGCCAAAATATTAAATATAACAATTTAATTAGATATTTAATATATAAATTTATTTAACACATGCTAATGTAAGTAAATCTTTGGTAGCACTATTATTTAATTGCATCTTAAGTTTTTATTTTAGTGTGTTATCAATTGTAAATTAAACTTAACTACATAAATTATTGTAACTTAAAACAGTAATAATGTTGTATTCTGGATAATAGTTGTTTCTCTCTCTCTCTCTCTCGCTTATCGCTGGCATATAATCAGATATAATGATTGATTTAAATATTATTATCATTATTAAAATGTAAATCTTATTTTGACGAAACAGGAAAAACAAAATATCTCTCTCTCTCTCTCTTTCTCTCTCTCTCTCATATTTTGAAATAAAACTTTTCTAACGAGTTCAGCTTTTATAACGCTCTAATTAATTACAATATGCATATTGATAACATATAAATATTTAATTAAATAATTTAATATTCATATTGATATACACATGCATAATATTATTGTGAAATACTATTGATTTTTGTGGTTCAATAAACCTAAACACTGGATACAACACTGTATGCAATATAATTAATAGTTACATAAATTTATAATTGCAAAATTTTATAAATTCTAAGTAATTAATCTTGGGCAATAGGCGTAGTGAACTATATTAAATAATGTAGTGCAATATGGTAATTATTTAGATCTCAATTATTAATCATGTAATATAATGTTATTAAGCATTATACAAAATTATATTTTTTATATCAATTTTCTTGTAGTTTTTATACATAGACCCGGAAATGTCCGTTTAGTTGCTCTCTCTCTCTCTCTCTCTCTCTCTCTCTCTCTCTCACTCACTCTTACTCTCACCCGCTTTCACACACCCTATCATTAACTCAATAACACAAAAACTTCAAAAATAATTTTTACGTTTGTCACTAAAAAATTATTTAAATAATTAAATGCCAAATAATTTTTTATTAATCCCTATCTATATAACAACTTTTAATTACAACATTTTATTTAGCAAATAATAAAAATTATTTTATTTGTTATAGATGTAAAGATACAACAGTTTTAAACACAAATACAAGTTATAATACTAGGAATTTTGAAAATCAATGCCTGAATAATAGCATATGATTTAAATTCATTAATTATAATGATTTTGTTTTTCCTGTTTCGTCAAAATAAGATTTACATTTTAATAATGATAATAATATTTAAATCAATCATTATATCTGATTATATGCCAGCGATAAGCGAGAGAGAGAGAGAGAGAGAGAGAGAGAGAGAGAGAGAGAGAGAGAGAGAGAGAGAGAGAGAGAGAGAG